AGTAAGACATAAAAGCATAAGGTTAAAGTATGTCTTGTGTCTGGACGGCTCACCCTTCAGCGGCTAATAAAACACTTGGTATTCTTGTCTGAGAGACGCTAATCGATCCACATTAGTCTGAACTCTCTCACTTTGAAAACTCAGGAAATTTGATTTCAGAGAGAGAAAAAATCGGTTAATGCATTGATCACTCATGCTGTATGCAAATCACATTTGCCTCAATTTTTTTGCTGATCAATAGCATTAATTAACGGCTTGGTTTTAACAGCGCCCCACAATCCTGTTAGACAGCGCTGCTCTCCTCCTCCATCCTCCTGTGTCTGTGTCCATGTAAATGAAGCGTGTGAGGCTCAGGACATAAATCTGAGGATTCCATTTGACCATGAGCTGCTGCTCAGAGTGCTGAGGCGCGCTCAGGTAGATCTGCACCGGCCTTAATATCATGTATTTATTACAGCAGAGCAGAAGTCTGATGTAGAAGAGTTTACTCCTTTACCTTGGAGTTTAGCTGCCAGCTCCAGTTAATTGAAATAACATTCATGTGTGTGCGCTGCATGGCCCTGTGTGCTAACTAGCCTAGCTGCTGCCAGAGCTGTAGTGTGTGGGATTAATAATGGACGCTTTTTGAAATTATTATTATTCCCAAAATGCTCTTTTGTGATTTGCTTTGAAGGGCGTGCATGTACATGTGTATGTGTGCTGAGGGGGTGTTAAGTGAGTCGGGGGAGGGGGGCTTGCTTGCTCATTTGGAGAGCTTTTCCAATTATACAATTAGTGAGGAATGTAGGCCAGCGGCCTGGTGTTCTCCTCTGCCGACCCCGGGTAGCAAGTGCTTCACTTCAGACCCATCTCTGTCTCCAAACTCTTGACAATAGTACTTTAATGAAGAGCCTGTGATACAGTTGAGATGGCCCAGGAGCCCAGATCACCCACTGGCTGAGCCCCGGTGTAAGAGCCCTGAGCCCTGTCAAAGGACAGGTCTCAGGAGCCTCAGAGCTCACCCATGGGTGGGCCCCTGTGAGCCTGTGAGGATGAGTTGCATGTGAGTCCTGGGGTCAGTGCTCTTTGGTCTGCTCCTGTTTTCTGTGATGAGGCTCTGTGTGGAGCCTAGGGGCCCTCCCTGGGGCCATCTCCCACACTGTGTGCTCGCCACACTGAGGAGGACTATGTGTGTTAGTGGGACACGGCGCTGCCCAATGGCTCTGCTCATTACACTCTTTCAAATACACTCTGTGATTTATGGAAACAACATGTTTCGCATAGAGCAGATCTGGGTTTCACACACAACAACAGCCAAGTGCCATCTGTTGGCATGCGGATTTCTGTAATCTCTCTTTACTGATTACAACGATGACTACATGAACCTCTTAAATAATTATCCCACAATGTAAAAAAAGCTAAATAATTATAATCATTAACTCCCACCAAGTCTGCCACTCCTCCATCACCGGCAGGTTGTCAGGAGAGACAGACACCGAGATGCCAATCACGCCTTATTTAGACCAGCGGGAGGAGGCACACAACACGACAATCTTAACCCAACTCCACTCGAGGTAACAGCCAGACAATGGACGCTCTCCCCCTCCGCCCAGGCACAAGCGCTTCACTGTTTATGCTCTATTTACAGAAAAGACCTTTATTCTGTGATTTTCTGTAGTTTTCTTTGAATAACTGGTACTTTTGACAGATTTAATATAATATAATCAGTATATACTTTATTAACGTATAACTCAAGCGGAATCTGAGACAGTCCTATACTGTATTTGTACTTTGATTCTCTGAACATTTTCTGTATCCTGTTGTTTTGGCATCTCTAACTTTGCTTTTAGCGTTCCAAATACAAATTGAAAAGAGCTTTTACAATGAATCAAAATCTACACTTGCCATCTATATTCTGCCATATCTCATTGAATCTATACTTTAGCTTTGTGAGGCAGGAAAGTGACTGTTCTGTGCACAATAGCAGCAGAAGTCAAGCAGCCTTTGTGTAACAGGTGTGGCTTTGTCATTTACAAACGCAACCTATTCATTCAGAATCAGAGCAAGACAAAGTTCATGACCTTAATCAGAGCCCATTCTGAGCCATGTTGACTTTGTGTTGATTACAAAAACGCATACACAATCGTAAGCGTTGCCTTTATATTATGGAGCTATGATGTTCACACTTTTTACAGTCAAATTTTTTTTCTGAGAAATGGTGTGAAAAAAAGACAACGCAAGATGTTCCGTGCTTCCTCTGATGTGACTGATATTTCTATTGTTAACAAAAGGGTGGTCCTTTATACCAAGCAACAATAAGGCTACAACAAGAGTCTTTGGGTCGCTCAAAAGAAAAACTAGCTTTATGTTTTTGGTTGGTGCAGGTTACTTTAATCAATTCGTTTTTTTGGGGCATTTTTGTATTAATAATATCAATTAGGGCTGGGTGTTGTTACCATGTGTCTGTGGTACAATACTTGGACTGTAATCTGATATAAATCTTCCCCTTCCCTGTATTTCCCTAAAGATAGTGTTGAAGTGGACAACACTTCAACACTGGAGAAAGAGGGCTAACCACTCTGCCACTGGACCTGTAATAAAGCAAAGGGTCCAGGCAGAATCGGTAACAAAAAACTCCTCTACACAAACTGGTCCTAACTTATTCCAGACTGTATCTATTTTTCTTACTGGGAAGTAGAAGGATACATGTTTGCTTTGACCCGTCACATTTCCAGGATTTTGATTGTTACTATATATTATCAATTGGCTGATACAAAAAAAACACAAAATTCTGAGTAAAATGCAGTTGTTCCAGTAAATGCTTTGGCTCTTTAATGGGCTGATATCCCTCCAGGGTTATTGACTCAAGAACTGTCTATTTGCGCATATATATATTGTTGATGCTAAGTTTACGTGTACAGTTAAACATGCCTCCGCTCTGCTCTGCGTTGTTTTACGCAGACCAGGGGACAGCTGCCATATACATCCCGACTCCACTGAATCTTTTTCAATAAATGTTACTACATGAATTTTTCCAGTTCCAAGAGAAAAGGTTTCCATTGATTAGCACTTTACAAGCAATCAATTTTTACAAACCGGCTTGACCCCTAACCACTTTTTTTCTCTATTTCTGCAAAAGTCGGTCTCTGGACGACGGTCTGCGGCGAATTAAAAGAAAACAGGCGAGCGGAAGAGAGGATGGGTAATTACTGGATAAGGGAAAAGGCTAGACAGGGGTATGTATGAGGTTTTATTAAAGGACGAGAGTGAAGAGAGAGAGAGAAAGAGAGAGAGGGAGAAGAAACTCTTCTTAAAAAGCAGTGGGAGTGGGACGGGAATAATGCATGGTGTGATTTGATCTTTGTTGAACTTAAACATCAACTGAAGTGGTTTCCAAAATGATATGGGCAAGGGAATATTCATCCTAGTGTGGGAAGCTTCTCTTGTCTTTATTATCTTATTGAATGCGACGAGGAAGAGCTTTTAAATGTTTTCATCATTCAATCATAAAATCATAATCATGCACAAAATAATAATAATCCACATAATGATAATAACATGTAAAATAACAAATATATTTCCTCCACTGCACATAAAGTTTACTCACGTTTCCACAAAAAGGCAGCTTTCTCCTAGTGTGCTCCTCATAAATACAAAACTAAACTAAAGACCCATGAATCCCTGCTATCGCTTCATTGTCTTCATCGAGTTGCAGCTCTGTATGAAATGCGCTGGATAAATAAAATGTTGTCTTCTTCTTATACCTTTGCATTGAAAACAGGCTTTTGACGCAGACAGCACTGATTATAGACCAGCGTTACAAGTTCTCCTCTCTCTACCTGTCGCTCTTCCATCACCCCCCACTTCCTCAACCCAGACCCCCCCGACACCCCCACCCATCCCCCTACAAATGGATCACACCTGTTTGTCGCCTTACGTCAGTTTTTTGGAGGCGTCTCTTGGCTCGGATGGAAACTTTTCACCGGGATAAATGTGATGGTTTGATAATTTCATACAGTTATTATTGTTCAATTGTACATGCAGTTTGAGAGATTGTTTTAGCGTGCGAGGAAGTAGGTTGCAAAGTTGAATTCCTTCTGTAATGGGGAATAACACAACGTAATAGTTTCCATATTGGAGGAGAAAAGGAATTGTGTTTTGTAAGAGATTTGTGGGGTGAGAGATGCTATCGAGTGCTCCCATTGCATTACTGTCTGTTATGCCAACAACAACAAATATAAAGGGGACATGTCTCTGCAAAATAAATGGTCCACAGTATGAGTGTAAATGAGACAAGCAGGATTTGGTGCCAGGTACAATTTGATACTTTGATATCCATTTATCACTTACAACATGTTATGTAGTTTCCAGTTCAAAAGAAAATAGTTTTTTTTGTTTGTTCTAACTTTCCTCGGCTTTGCTGTGCCGTGCAGTTTGTGAAAGTAAACAGTGATGGGTGATGGGATACTGGGAAAAAACGTTAAAGGGAATAGGCCAACCGCTGTCCTGATTGGCTCTTGGGTTGCTAAGAGGTTGCTAGGCGAGAATTCGGCTACAAATCAGCTGACATTGGCTTCTTCCGTATTGGGTCACATACATAGTAGACTGGTGCCAAATCAGGTAAAGTTACATAACAGAACTTCAGAAAATTGTTTATGTATTTTTATTGAATTCATTATGTAATTGATTTATTTTGATATGTTTTTATTTTAATTGTATTAATTTTAATATTTATTCATTTTTATTTATTTAAATATTTTGTTCATTGTATTTATGTTTTTTGATTATTGTATGAATGAATGTATTTTATGTATATTATTTTTTGTATTTATTTCCTGTATATCATTAAGTACTCAGCGAATGCCAAGAACTCCGACAAGAGAAAAATGAGTCTATCAAGGAAGGGAATCGTCGTTTGCCAACATATCGTCATGCAGCATCACCAAATGTGTATTAGAAGGACATTTGTGCGATTGCGTCTGTGAGTTTTGACGTGTTTAATATCCTTCTTCTGATGTTACCTCTGATGATGAACCGCAAGAGTCGGATGTCAACGAAGAATCTCTGCAAACAGCTCCGACAACAGGAGACGGGACGAGATCTGGAGATCTGGAAAAACAATAAAACACATATACATAAAGTCAGACATGTTTGAAGTTTCACAAGGATCCATGGTTCCAGTCGCAGCGAAGGTCTTGGTCACATGCAAAAGTAATCAACGAAAAAATACGAACCACAATGTGTCCATCTCTGTGACTTTTGATATTGGGTTTTGTGTTTTTGGGAAACACTAACAATGTCATGGAACGCCGCAGTAATAACATTTAAAAGCGGGCGGCATTGTAATACGTACAAATAAACAAATAAACGATGAACAATGGAACATCAAAAACAGGTGCTGTGTTTTTTTTCTTCTTCCAATAATATGTAATAGTATCATGGGTGTAATTGATGTCAGATACGTATAAAAGGCGCATGGGGAATTGCAGTTCTACAAAGAGGAAAAAGAAGTTTGAAAGTCAAGAATCTCAGACCACATAGAAGTCACTTGAGTAACACTGCAAAAAAAGTGATGAAAAATAAGTCAAAAATGTCTCAAATGTGGCAAAATGTATCTTAATTTGAGCACATTTTGACTGCCTTAAAACAAGATTTGCCGATGGGACCAACTAAAGAATCTTGTTTTGTAATTATTTGCGATTATTTTGTTTTTTTTTTACAAATTAACTTGCCTCGCCTTGCCACAAGTATGGATCGGCATTTTTTATTTAATGATAAGATAAGATAAACGTTAAGATAAACTACAAAATAATTATATTGTTTTACCTCAAATGGAACAACTCTGTCATTATTTTTGTATTGACAAACACATGTTTTATTGAATTTCTTGAGTTGTATCTGCTTAAATAAACAGTATACCAAGAGACCAAATGTGATTGTCCAATGTCCAGTGCTGTCCCCCTTTTTGTGGAAAAAATAAAGACTATCAATCAATCAATCAAAGTTTATTTGTAGAGCGCCTTTCATCAAATATAAAGATTTCACTCATAATCCAGGTCAAATGCATCAGTTATTGTTCCCTTTCTGAGAACAGGCAGGTACACGATGCCACTTTAACTACTGCGACTCCAATCTTCAGGAGAAAAATGTTTTTGACTTTATAAAACACAACCCATAAACAAAAAAAACAGAACGCTCTGATCTCCAACTGCCAGTGAAGCCCACACAGCAGCTTGCACATTTCTTGGTAGGGGATCCAGCCTTCCAGCGCTTAATTCTGAAAAAATAATCAAACCGGCAAGTATGCAAAGAAAAGTCTGCCACTCCCTTTTGAATTCATACACAACATGCAGGTAAAACAGAGAGAATATGAACTCCCTCCTCCAAAACCCACCACTTTGTTTAAAACCCCTATTTTCTTACAACTGCCGAAAACTCGAGAGGTTTACTTTTCATTCTTTGTGACATTTACTTAAGCCGCCCGATGTTGGCAAAGATAATAATTGTTTTGTATATTGGTGTTATTCCTAAGTGCAACTAGCTGTTCTGTGCTTATTATGATTTTGGAGCAAAAGTGTCTCGTGACTATCATGCAGAAGAGTTGGATGTTAAGTCTATGTACTTTTTTCAACAACAAAAAAACATTACTTTTTTAATTTCTTAATAATCAAAAAAATACTAATATTGCAAGGGTGTGAGAGAGTGTGTGCAAGTATGTGAAAATTGTATTATGTGTTATTGCTACTTGTGGATATTGTAATGTCATTTTCTAAACTGTTTTGTCTGGGAGGTAAAGTTGAGGTGGAAAGAAAGTGGTCATCAATCATATCTAAGAAAAATCCAAACAATGTATTAACAAATTAAATGTAATTAATGGAAGCAATTTGATAGTTTTATATTCATAAATTAGGAACGACTAGGGTGAAACGGAATAAACATAAAGCCAAGATGGTCTGTTTCATACACAGTTTGTGGATATTAGATAATTATTTCGGAAACAGTAATAATCGACACAGGAATAGTGTTATCTGCTCTTATCTTCACCCTTTATTAAACCTCCAACTATCACAAACACGCATCTGCAACTGCTATTACTCATATGTTTAGAAAGTGGACTTGAATGTTCTTGATATTTGGAAGCGACTCGTGTGAAGAGAGGAGAAGAGAAGAGGAGGGGGTGCACAGATGTGGAGGGTCTCGGGGAGGGCCACCCAGACCCAAATGGCACTACTTTTCTCCCTCTTTGCCAGCGCTGCACACACACATACTTGTACTCCACAACGTCGCCTTAAGTCACATTCTAAATTAGCTCCCAGGGGCCTAGCGACTACCTTGTTCACCAAAGGCATTGTGTATGTTTTGTGAGAGCTTAGCATATGCCGCTGTAACCTGAGCTTGCTCTATCTCTCTCTCTCAGACACACACACACACACTCACACACACACTTGCCAGAAGTCGCTCTGTTTTCTGTTTTCCTTTACGAATTTCCCATCAGGCCCTTAATTAAATTCAAAATAGTTCACATCTACCTATTAAAGCATGTAGCGCTAACCGCCCACCCGGTGAAGCTCGGCACAGACAGCGGCGTGCGGGATGGCAGGGGGAGAGGGGGGCACAGGTTGTCTTTAGAAAGCAGAGCTCAGATCTCATGCGATAAGGAATGTCACGTCTGCGTTTGATACTGCCATATGAGATTCTAATGCATGTGTATGATTTGTGTGTGTGCGTGTCTGTGTGTGTGGGCTCAGATGACTAGGGTTCAAATGTACTGGTGCAGCTCTGATTTAAAAGTGTATCTTCATTTCTAAATGGAACCTAATGGCTGTTTTATAATCAGTCTAAATGTTCTGGTATTAAAGAGGTTTTCCGACAGTGCTCAAAGGGAAGCACGGCCCACAGGTAATTGTTATTGCAGAGTGAAATATCACAGCTAAAGCTACTGACACTTGATCCAATGTGCAACATCTATGATTTGATATTAAAGCGCAGTGTGCAGTAATGAAAAAGGCTAACGTCTTAAGACAGAGTAACCTTTGCTGTGTTTACCTTATTAAAGAGTGTGCTAGTGCAGTGCACACAGGGGGAAAACAATGTGGATAAAGTGAATGTGTTTAAGCAGGCGAACAGTAAAGTAATAGGCAAGAGCAGTGAAGTGTTGATTCTACACATGATGTGGAGGAAAAAGCACCTTAGCACGCACACACACAAACATACAAGCAAACAGCCCCCTCTCCCCCCCGCCCACTTCAATATACTCCAACACGGCCCGCTGCCTGGCAGCCCAACTTAACATTTTCAGAGAAAATATTCCTTGCCTCCAATAGTCCGATGTAATTCATTTTCCATCTCTGTTCATTAATCATTGTTAAAATTAGTGATCCATTTCTTCCACTCTGCCATCTGCACTCAGCTTCCTAACAAACATGACACCTCAGCGCATAATAAAAGCTGACAGCTACGAGGAGGCCTTTCCAAATAGCTTTCTGCATATGTGCACCTCAGCGACTGATGCCGTTGTCAGACAAAAAAGGTTATTTAGACCACTGGCTGCTGTCTGGGCACATTCACACTCACATGTAGTACAAGTGTGGCCATGTAGTGTTCCTTTTAAACAGTCCACAAGTGGCCTAATTCAGCCTCTGCTCTCAGCAGTCACAGTCACATGTAGCCTTTCCCTGCATACACAAAACAACAGATGTGCCTAATCTTCAATGGAATGTGCTAAAATCCCGATAAGGAAAATCTCCCTCATATTTTTTTCTTCCCAAAGAGGGTGAAGTGAGGAAAACTAGAGAAGCAAAGCTATATTACAGATATGGGGACTTCACAAAGGCCTGTTTAGTCCTATACGGTCCTTGAACACAAGCAGTTAGTACTTTTCCATCTGCTGCAGCTGTGGTATTTGTGTCCATGTCGAGATCTGCATGAATATTACGGTCGGCCTTAAACCACATCTGAGCTTCGAAAGTGAAAAGAAGGCATTGCCCTGTGGGGTCACTCCGGACTCATAAACACCTCTCTGATTCTCGTAAAAATACCAGTTCACCCGCAACTGGCATGAGCATAGTAGGACCCAAAGTGAAATGACACATTAAGAAGTCTAATTTGATTTAATGAAGGCAATTGGCCCATGCAAGCAAATAAAGTTTTTTTAAGACGAAATATTTTGGGCGATTTTTTGGCACACAGAGCAAAAAGTGATGCAAAATAAGTCAAAAATTGCTAAAATTTTCTTTATTCAAATCAAGCAATATACAACACTTGATTCATAGTGTTTAATCATTTGCAGTGCATATACAAATAAATGTGACTTTGTTTTATATTGGGGGGATCATGAGTAGCAGGTAGGTCTGTGCAGTCCTTTAAACACTTTTACATCTTACATTCTGCCATGACTCATTTAGATCCCGACGTGTTACTTACTGCACCACTTTCCATTCACGCTGCATAACTTTTCTCCCACAAACAAGCGCCAAATCAAAAAATAATAGCAAAGAATAATTCATGATCAAAAATGACAATGGAACAGATGATGTGTGTGTGCATTTCTCTCTCTCTCTCTGCACTTCACTACTTTTGTGGATTTTGGGGGGGATCATTTTGCGCAAACTATTTTTATAATGGGTTTTGTTCTAGTTGAAATGATTGATTGTATGAGAGATGACAGTGGAGTAGAGGCCTGTATCCACGCTGTCACTGGTTCAATGCACACATGTGTTATTGTGGCGTAAGTCGCGTCTTCCGGTACAGAGACCTAAGAGAAGGATTGTGATCAAAACGGCATCAGGTTGAAAAAGGTATAATACTTTTTTATTTCATTTTTGAAATAAGATGTATTTTGATTTGTTCCAGGCGAGAGTACACATTTGTAAGGTCATACAAGGCAATAAGATCCTAAATAATTACAGTATATAAAAATATGTTGCATGGTATTACTTCAAACAATTATATCAACTGTTGAGTAAAAAATATTCCTTAATTAAAGCTGCGTTTTTTGTGTTTTTTTTTCATATATATTAATTTGAGTTTGTCCTTAGAGAAACCAGACCACTACATGCTGTATTCTTTAGCTTATAAAAAACATTATATCTTAGAGTCACTCTTTGGCACTTTGGGCTGCGAGCTGATTGGCTGAGGGAGTTTTTGTTCAGACAGAGGCCAAAATGACATGTGAAAATGATATTGATATAACCAAACTCAGAACTAAAAGAAAGAGTTAGTTGAATTCTATTGCGTATTCCAAAAGTTTGGTACCGCAACTTTAATCCAATCATTAAATGTGTACAATACTGTTAATAGTCATAGAGTGTGTGGAACATGGACCAAAAAGCAAGTATACTCAATATCTTTCTTAATCTTTCTCACATTCAAAGGTTGCCACTTCAAACTCACCCTGATACCCCTCTCTATCAACCCAACACACTTTCCGCAGGATTTATTTAATTGAACATTTTTGCAAACATCTTTTCCAAACCCTCTCTTCCACAGCAGTTTCCCGTCTCCTCTCCTCGGCCACACGGCTCTACAGACACATTTATCTATATAATGCCCGCAAAGAGAAGGCTTTTCACACCGCTAACTGCCAAGGAGCACGCGGAGCAGCGGCGGAGCCATGATTCAGCTGTTAGTCCAACTGGCAGACCACAACCACCACCAACACATGCACCCCCACCCCCACCCCCACCACCACCGATCCCCCCACCTGCCCGCCTGCCATCACTACGCACAATATGTTCACAGGGAAAGAGAAGAAACATCGGCTACCCAAGGTATCGCGGAGGACTTAACAGAATCAGAAAGGGACTGGATAGGGTTTGGAAGTAATGTAATGTAATGTGTATTTATATAGCACATTTTTACAGACAAGGGTCACCCAAAGCGCTTTACAATCTTCCAAGTTCAGATATTGTTCCAATCACTCCACACAAGCGAGACGCCGAACACACTGGCGCATCAAAGCCCCAATCAACACCATACATTCACTCTATCATTTACATTCATACCTATACCATAAGTGGTTAAAGCATTTGTATAATCTGGGGTGATTGATTGGCAAGTGGTCAGAAGGTTGCTGGGTCCATGTCTGCATTTGTGGTAGGAATTACATGCAGATTTTTTTTTGTATTTGGATTGGAAAGTTGAAGGTTGATTGAAGTTGTTGGTTCTCAATCTGTGGTTGTGTCCATGGGTTTTGAAGTGCTAGCTTAAGGATGGTCCATCTTGTCTTCTTAGTAGATTCACATGATTTCTTTATTTTATACCAAACAACTGTAAGAAAGCTGATGCTATTACTGTGACATGTTTCAATGGCAAAATTGTTTGTTGTTTTGTATGTTAAATTTTGTCATTCGAATATAACCGGTTTAACAAAGTCACTGAGAATATAATTAGCATTTTGTACATACATACTTACAAGTTAATATATCATGAAGTTTGGTGTTTAAGCTCTGTGCAAGTACATAATCATCCAAATATGTGAGGTTCATTAGGTCAGAAAACGACACCTCACCTCTATACATTTTAATAACATAACAACACAACAAATGCACTGAACACTTATATTCAACATATGACTCTGTGAAAAATTAAATTGTGGTAACTTGAAACAATCTTATTTTTGCCTGTAAACTATTAAAACCTATAGTGACCACACCTCTAAAGAGAAAACTTCCATCTCCATAGTGAAGCATTCCTTTCAGAAAACCTATACCCAGCCCGGCACATCTCTCCTCCCTCCTCCCGCCTCCCTCCTCCCCTGCCCTGATTTAATATTCATTTGTTGCACAGAGGCCACAAAACAGACAGCCTGCAGCGGTGATTGGAGGGCCAGTGCTCAGAGACAGACGGCGCGCACGAGAGCAGCTAAATCATCTTGACATTCACCAAGAAGTAGCCACACAGAAAGCCTCACTTCTCCCATCCACTAATTTGGTTCTACTTAACCCCCAAACACCCTCGCAACACATACACACACGCTATCCTACCCAAGCTAAGGGGACACCAGTGGAGTCCGCAATCCCAGTTTGTGTGTGCCGAGATGGGCTGATGAGGCAGAGAGCCGCACCCCCCCTCTGGTCTGATTAACATCGTTTAAAAAAAAGCTTCCCTTCGCTGTTGCGGTTTGCCTGGCTGACCTCTATGTCCCTGGGAGCCTTCTCTGCCCTCCATCACTCCGGAAGATTAAACCGCTAACTGTAGGACCTGGGAGATGTAGTAGCATGACAGCTTAACTCCATATGGTTATTATAAGGGCAGTGATGACTACATGTTTCGGACAGCTGCTTCATGATAAATAATTTTACACGTTTTTGTTATTTATTTTTTAGTCCAAGCCTGCTTGTATAAAGGAGAAAATATGTGTTTTAGAAAAGTAATTCAAACGTAAAAAAAAGTGTGCATTTAGTGACATATTATCCCTGAGAATACTGGTCACCTGAATGCACCTGAAAGTTTTTGAGTCCAGATTCCATGAAAATTACGGAACTAGAGTGAACATTTTCAGCCATGATCATTTTTGAAATCTTAACAAAAACATATCAAAGTAGATATTCAAAATGTAACTGAGACCTTTGCTCAGAACAGTGTGTATAATGGAACTATGCACATAATGGAAATGTATGGACATTTATCAACACTGGTCATCTGCCCCTTATGGACTAATGTGTTTTCTCTTTTATTTCTTGTGTTTGAACCGTTTGATTCTGATCTGTGTTGGCGAATTCAACGGTTTTGTAAAGTCCTCCGAGATAACTGCTGTTGTGATTTGCGGCTATACAAGAATACATTGAATTGAATTGAATTGAATTGAATTGAACTCTCTCTGCAATAAAATCTCAAATATCAAATAGTTTGGTTCTATCACCAGTTTTCACCTGTATATAGTTTTTGGCTTCTGTCGCAGCACGAGGATCAGCGTTTTACAAATGTGATACCCCAGGTTTAACCCTTTTCACTGGAGAAACAGACTGCCTAAAGGTGAAAATTGAACTTTTCATTGTTTTCAAGTCACATTTCACAACATTTCAAAGAAAATCTCTAGACTCAATGATCATTTGAATGAATATGGAGCCATTCTAAACTTTTTGTGCCCATAGATATGCGCTTAATGGATTCCCCACAGCTTGAAACAACTTTTACTCAAAGAACAACCGCTTTGAGCTAACTCCGACTTCTCAGACAACTGCCTGTTTACTTTGGAAGCTGTTTTTCAATGAGTGGACATACGGACACCGCTTTCTCTCGCACACATATTACACGTCAGGTGCCATACGAAGCAGGTTTTTCCCCCCTATGCAGTGTGTAGTGTAAATAAGACGCGGCCTGTTTTATTTGTGCCTTTCCCCCTTCATCTAAATTATATAAGCCTTGCACATGGCTTAAAATTTTGTAAAGCTTTTCTGAAAATCCTACTTATGGTTGCCATTCTGTGCCAAAAAGTTCATCTGGCCTGTAAATTTAAGCATGGATTACAAATATTCAAATCACGAGCTTACTGTTCAAATAAACAGTCCCAACAGGGAGGGGAAAAGTTGCAAGGCATACACTTTCGGCATAATTCCTTCGCTGGCACCTCCCCTCCCTTTGCTCCTAATAAAACAACCGCAAAAAAGCTCAGGAAGAACTAAAGAAGAAGAGTGGTCGAAGGGGGAAAAAAAATAGCAGAAAAATGCGCAAAAACAAAACGATGGAAAGTTGAAAGTTCGGATTGTCCATTCATCTCGCTGCTGGATAAACAGCGTTGATGAAATATGTAATTAATGTAATTGTAACCACCTATGCAATTACAGTGTTGCGGGTGGGCCGTAGGACAATAGTGCACCTTATTACCGTTTTTTTTTTTTACAGGAGGGGCGGTGAGGCAGGGGCTTAGCCGGTCAGCTGCTCGCCACATGCTAGAAATAATAAGAGTGGAAGTCACAATTGTTGAAGCTTTCGGGTTTAACTCCGCTGATCGCTGCACTTTATAGGCCGGACAATGCAAATACCTGGTCAGCTACGGGATCTCCGAATCCTATTATCTGCACTTTACACTTTGGCTATAAAAAGCAAAAAACAAAACAAAAAAGATGAAAAAAAAGAGACAGGGCAAAACCATGAGTCATCAAATTATGCACAATGAATATTCTTGTATTCTTAACACATGACTGGGCGCATAGAGTGACCTGCTTTTCACATGAAATGAAACCAGCCCAGAGGAACACGGCTGGTGGAGTTTGGGGGCGCTAGGTTAGACTAGTTTACCCACACCAGGGGGATAGTTGATTGAGTGATATTTCTGTGCTTCTCTTTTGTACTAGATGCACAAATAAACACTTGAATTGAAAAAAAAGACATTTGAATAATTGTTTTAACTTTTTCTTTAGTGTCATAGAGAATATGTGTTCATTTTGATTGAGTTGAGCAGTAAAAAAAATTGTCATGTGCCAAATTATGGATATTACAATGTATCCCTACTGCTCAAAATCTGCGTCTAATCTAAACCGTTTCTAAAAAGGAGTCTAAACTGAAAAGTAATTGCTACTCATGATACTTTTCCGTATTTCTTCATTGTCCTTTGTAAAACAGTGCAGCGCCCGGACACCCATCTCCAGGTGTTGATGCTCGGCTGGGTCAGATAGTTTTGGAAGGAGTTGGGAACCGGAGTGCTTGAAGGTCACCCACCCAGATAAGGGGAGAAACATGAAGAGTTTGAATGCAAAAACAGATATCTCCGTTTTGAAATGTTGTCAAAATATTGTATTTCTCGAGTTACAATCTTCAAAATTCTCTTCACATTCTGTAATCGGGAGAACACTTGAAAGAATTAGCCCAAGAAAGGGTGAAACTTGATTTGCATGGCACTAAAATAGATTTGGCTTTTCACAAAACTTGGGTAAAGAGCAATTTGTGAGACATTCTGATATGTTTCTAAGGCCACTTATTTGTTTTTGGCATATAAACTATTCACATGTAAACTCCACAGAAAAAGGCCTGAGATAACCACTCAGCCAGCAAAGATGCAAAAATGCTCAGTATTCTTGCCATCACTGATTTCTGAGGTTCTCAAAACAAATAAAAAGGTCAAAGATTAGTGCTCTACCCCAGTGTTTTTCAACCAGTGTGCCGTGGTACGTTAGTCTGACTTGAGAGGGTATTTGGTGTACCTTTGGAAAATATCCAATATCAGTCAGACCAATTGTTTTACTTTTTTAATCATACACCCATTAGTAACCATTCCTGCTATCACCACAACATTTTTTACCAACTCATACCCTCCTCCCTTTCTCATCTTTGGATCACACTAGTGAACACACACAAACATACACACACACACGAACGCACACACTTATCAATCAATCAATCAAAGTTTATTTGTAGAGCGCCTTTCATACACATGGCAACACAAAGCGCTTCACAGTCCACATCACAAATCATCACATAAAACAAACACCAGAATCACAATTAAAACATTAAAATCACACAAAAGATTAAAACACAATTAAAACATTAAAATCACACAAAAGAATAAAACCATTAAAACTTTCAAAATTACACAAGAAATTTAAAAAAATAAATAAATGACAGCAGTGCATTAAAAATGGAGATAAAATCCTTCAGTTGTATGCACAGGCAAACAGAACAGTCTTTAACCTGGATTTGAACATTGACAGAGTAGACGCCTCCCTCACATTTTCAGGGAGATTGTTCCAGATCTTAGCTGCATGGATCTGAAACGCAGCCTCCCCATGTTTGGTTCTCACTCTGGGCACCAGCAGGAGGCCAGTCCCTGTGCTCCTCAGAGTCCGGGCTGGTTCATATGACACCAACATGTCACTAATGTATTCTGGTGCAAGGCCATGGAGAGACTTGTACACAAGCAGAGCCGTTTTAAAATCTATTCTTTGAGCCACAGGAAGCCAGTGCAGAGACCTGAGGACCGGACTAATATGGTCATACTTCCTGGTTCCTGTCAGGACTCTAGCTGCTGCATTTTGGATGTACTGCAGCTGCTTACAGGTCTGTTTGGACAGACCTGTAAGCAGGCCATTGCAGTAGTCTAGCCTGCTGGAGACAAATGCATGGACAAGAATCTCCAAGTCTGCCCTGGACACTATATTTCTAACTTTGGCAATGTTCTTCAGATGGTAAAAAGCTGTTGATGTTATTGATTTTATGTGGCTATTGAAATTTAGGTCTGAGTCCAGTATTACCCCCAAATTTCTGACCTTGTCTGAAGGAAGTAGGGAGAGAGACTGAAGTTGACAAATGACGCCCTCTCTTTGTTTCTGGGGACCAAAGACAATGATTTCGGTTTTGTCTGTATTTAGCTGGAGGAAATTATTTTGCATCCAGTCACTGATCTGTTGGATACAGTGAAGGAGCAAATCCAGTGGTCCATGTTCTCCTGCAGTCAGTGAGACATAGATCTGAGTGTCGTCAGCGTAATTGTGGTAGGACACTTTGTTTCTTTGTATTAACTGACCTAACGGCAGCATGTAGAGATTAAATAGGAGAGGTCCCAGGATCGACCCCTGTGGTACACCACAGGTCAGGGCCACATCATCTGAGACGCAGTCTCCAATCTCCACAGAGTACTTCCTATCCTCCAGGTAAGACCTAAACCAGTCTAGGGCTGTGCCAGTGACACCAGCCCAGTCCTCCAGTCTCTGCATGAGGATCTCATGGTCGACAGTGTCGAACGCGGCACTAAGATCTAACATGACCAAAACTGTGACTTTACCTGCATCAGTGTGAAGTCGAATGTCGTTTGTTACCTTCACTAGAGCGGTCTCAGTGCTGTGGTGGGGTCTAAACCCAGACTGGAACATATCAAAAGAATTATTCATTGTTAAAAATTCAGTAAGTTGTTGGGAGGCCACTTTTTCAAGAATTTTTCCAATAAATGGCAGATTCGATATGGGGCGATAATTTTGAAGTCCCGCAGGATCCAGACTGCTCTTTTTTAGGAGAGGTCTTATGACTGCTGTTTTTAGGGCCATAGGAAATGTTCCTGACGACAGAGACATGTTTACTATTTGTGTCAGTGAAGGTAACAAACTGCTCAGGACGGACTTCAGAAATTTAGAGGGCAATATTTCCAGGCTACATGTGGAGGAGCTCAGACTCATGATTATCTTTTTGACAGTTTCAGTATCCACAGGTGCAAAGTGAGTTAGCTCAGAAAGCTT